ATTATTCACTATGAAAAAAGGGCTGTTTATTACCCTGCCACCAGGTGTATCCTTATGGCATTGGGATGTCAATCCATTTCACCGTTTTGGAATTATCGATTGCTATTCCGAATACAATACCTACTTTTTCGCTTTGTGTGTATTGCGTTGGGAAATTCAGCCTAAAGAGGATGCTTACATACCCGCTAGTCTTCACAACAGGCCACGCAGCAATGGTAACAATGGGAAGAAGAAAATAAAAGTTTTCTATGGTATATGTATAAATATGTTATATAGCATCACAAATATCAAAGATCAGAAAGTGCTAGTCTCTGGCTCCTGCTTCTGAGTTCATTTGAGGCTACATACAGTAAAAGTACATAATATACAACTGCTGAGTTTTGATGGTGATTTTCTAGTTGATTGGTTTACAAAGTCTATGTGACAGAAGCATATCACAAGATTCCGTTGGAGCAGTAACAGAAGCAGAAGCAAGTAAAAAGAAAGGAGGAAGAGGAGGAACAAGAAGAAGCAATGTAAGTCAGTGGATGTCAGATATATGAGTGTAGCAAATTAAAGTTTTATCAAGATGAGCACGAACAAAAAATGGGTGGTCGGTGGGAACCTATTGTTGTTGTTCAACCAAGCTCAGGATGACAAACGAACTTAAGACTAGGCCGGCTCCTATAAGAGAGGTCGGAGGTAAGATGATTCCTTTAAAGATATCACCAATGACAGCTACTGGTAATGTCAACGAAATGCCCTATTATTGGTTTCATGGTGAAATTAGTCAAGGGTTGTATTATCAGGCAACATTCATAACAGTCAGTAAAATCTTCAAAGTAAAATTACTCAACTAAGGTAACAACCAGTGGTGAAGTCTTTAGCATGGCCAGCATGTATCTAAAATAGTGAGACGACGAAAATTGTTTTAGTGGCAAAAATAGTCTCTTCCAATCCTCTGGGAGTTTTTGCGGAGTGTGAGACGATACTGACATGTAATCTGAGATGAAGGTGCACATAGCATTGAGGATCACCGAGAGCCACAGTTTCCTCGTATGGGGGAAAGAAAATGGCTCGATGCCAGTGTAGTGCAGGGCGACTCCCATAGGCCAAAAGCAAAGCATGTTGATTGCTCCCACAAACCCAAAAAACAACTGTCAAGTTGATACAAACGTCAATGAAATCCTTTAGCAAGTCTATGTAAAGCAGATCGAAATTTGAAATCAAGACTCAGACAAACCTGCATGTCAACCCTTGATTCCTCTTTGACTTTGACCTGATACGAGGAAAGATGGGTTGGAAGAACAGGTGACTTAGCAAAAGAATAAATGAAGATCTGAAGTAGGACATGAGCAGACCTTCATCAAGATGACGTAGAGTGCATACAGGGCAGCCGATGAAAGTGCGAGGACGTCGCCGAGGATCCAATGAGAGGAGGTCTTGTCGGAAGGGTCGGGATCATAAGCCGAGTGATCAGATTTGGAGACGAGAACAACGCCGGTGACGCTCATGGCGACGGCCAGCAGTCGGCCCAGGCTGAACCTCTCCGCCCCGGTGGCTACCCCGATGGCCAGGGTGAAGAATCCACTCATGGAGGAGAGGATCGTTGTACTCGAAACCGATGTGTAACCCAGGGCAGCATTGACACTCCAGCTAAAACGAACCAAAACCAAAAAAAATGACGATAAGAATCACATTCTGAACGTCAATAATGTTATGCTCAGAGGCTCACTGACTTCGCGGCAAACCAAAGGAGAACAAAGGTGGCTGCCAGATGAGCAATTTCCTTGGTTGTCAACGGGCTTTCAGGTACAGAAAACGCTCGAGTGACACAAGTGGGTCGATTCTGTGGTTGATCAATTCAGTCGACACCTGGTTAACATTTATCGTTTTTTTTTTGAGTGATGATAGGATCGATCGAACGCACTTCTGATCGGCTGAGTTCTCGGTCCTGATCATCGACCAATGTATAAGCGGCTCTAAAGAGAGGGAAGATTAGTCACGGAGATGAAGACGAAAGCCACCTCTCAGTATTGTATTCTTACTGGACGGGGCTAGCAGGGTGTGAGTTCTTGCGAGCGTTGAGTTTGGGATCTGGGGCCAGTGGTTTGATCGATAGGCCATGGGTGTGCAGATAGGATAGGCCTGGACGAATGAGGTATAAGGTGAATGACGAGGTGCAGATGTATCTGTTGTAGCAAACGGATCCAGGGTTCTTGGGCTCAGTGAGGGTTATTCGGCAGCTGAGAGACTCTGTCAACGGGATACGAACGTCACCAGCCAGGGTCGGTTCCATTCCTCGTCTCGAAACATGGACTGTCATCAGGAGATCGGAAGCAGGCCGGGCCGAGTCAGTGCGCTTGTATCTACCGTCGACCGGAATCCCAAGGGAAAATGAATCGGACTGACACTCATCAAGAAAGAAGATCTGTCATACATCCATAGTCAAAACATCCTCGTTAGCAGAGTGAGAGCAGCATGAAGAGAGAGCCGTACAAAACGAATACTTACCCAACCCAGAGAGCTACCACCACCAACAGCAGGCCGATCCCGACGAGGTAATGGTCCTGGGCCGGACGAGGAGATGGGCCGCGGACCGGCGGGGGTGAAGGAGGCTCAGGCTCGTTCATGATCATGATGCCTCGAATGTGTATGTATCCAATCCACAGCGATAATCGGTATGTGTAGGTGGAAGAAGGGGATAAGAAGTGAGGCTGTGAGTGTTGGCTGTTTTCTCTTGGGAGACAGCTGCTCATGCAAGTCACGTCATCGGCAACCGGCTCCGATTCCCATCAATACTGGCAACCGGCTCGGACCGGGATAAGCGATTATAGCCTCACACCGGCACCGGCCCTCTTGCTCTCCAAGAGCTTCGACGGTATGTACCGAAACCTAACCCCAGTTTCAAACAACCGAGCTAGTCCCTCGCCTCGCCGGATGAAGCTCCCCAGGGGGCTTGATCCGGGATGGGACATAGCTGTTGATCGGACATTGCGCACACCTCACTCAACATCCACCAATCCGAAACTTGACACTGGACATCAACTATCGCTTGCCTCAAGAATAACCCACCACATCCCGAGCAGCTCAAAGTTGGAAGCTTGACCCATGCACAGTGCATTCTGCTGCCTTACCTGTGAAAAGGCTTTTTTGGTGCACCCCTTGGGTCTCCAGTAAGATTGATAAGTGGGCCAGGTGTCCAACAGGTTGCCCAAACCCAGCCGGGCTTGGGATGGGCTTGAACAGAGCTTATAGAGTGTGTGTGGATTTGTCAAGCCTCATGGATGAT